AATGGGTACAATGTACGCTATCTGGGTGATGAGCATATTTATAACTTTGTCTCAAGCAGTACAAAAGCAATCCATGTAACCAAAACATTTGTACCCCTGTAATATTCTGAAATAAAAAAAAAAAATTTAAATGTGAAAAAACACCACATTATTTAAACAGCTCAATGTCGTTTGAACTCTTTGATCTAGGAAGAAAACAACATTCCTTTTGGGATGAGGGTAGCTCTTAAGGTGTTTAAAGGAAAAACCCTTAAAGACAGTGCACTGTTTTGAAAGGCATAGTCTAAGTGAGAGTGATTTAGACAACTAAAAGTTAAGCAGTTTTACATAAAACTGTAGAAGAAATGTTTACTTTCTGGCAGTTGGGAAACCAAGTCTTTTGGGTCTTGGTAGAGAGAGGAGACCTGGGCAAGATGGCAGCTAGAAAAGTCATAAAGAGAAGCATGATCAGAGACTAATCCCCTGTTGAAGCGGTGCTCATGTACCTTGAAGACAGTGAACAATGAATCATTATCTCTTCCGATGCATAATCGAAGCTCCCACATGATCCTCTGACCTTTAGGGGAACCCCATTACATAGGGCAGCAAACGCTCATAGAGTTGTTGGAAGAAAAGTGGGTGAAGAAAAAGTAGTCCTGAGAAGTCAGCTAATGAGCCGGGGATTGAGAGTTCAACAAAAGCAGGAATTCATAGTAATCCCCAGGATTTCTTTTGGATCTAGAGATAGGCACAGACTTTGCACGATGCATGAGATGAAGCTAAAACTACTTTATTTGGGTATTAAACAAAAGAGTGAGCACAGAGAGCTAAAATGTAGGGGCATCAATCCAGGCTGTGTCTACTCGGGTGACACAAGCTTATGCAGTGGGGTGTGGTCAAAACATGGATGCTCTGATGAATCATGGGAGCTGGGATGTTTTGGAGGGTGTGTGATAAACATATATTAATACTTTAATTCTGCTGAAGTCCCACTAGGTTGTGCCTAGGGACAAGTGCCCATTACTGTGGTGGTGACAAAGCCTTTCTATTAAGATTATTTTAAGTTTTGGCTCTGTAAATTTTTTTTTTTTTTAACCAAGGTGATTGTACTTAGGCACTCAGATCCATTCAAGTGACTTTCCTAAGATCATTCACCTATAAATGGAGGAAACACTGGAACTCCTGATTCTCTCCTGTAGTACTTTTTTTGACTATACAATACTCTTTCTTATAATTAATGCTTTTTACTTCTAAATATTCACAATATTTCAGAACACCACATATGCATTTCCATATGTAGGTATATATGTTTGTGTATGCATTTAGAATATCTACATTAATTCCATCCATTGAACATCTTTTCAATTTTGACTGTCACTAAAAATGTTGCTTTTGGGGTTTCCTTTTTGTTTTCTTTTTCTTTTCTTTTTTTGTTGGTCAAGTGAAGTGGGGTTTCTTTTTGAGTATCTTCTGGTATACAATGAAACAATTATTTTAGTATAACCTGGTCCATAGGAATTTACAAAAATATGCTTTGGTAGAAATATTGTCTATTCTTGGGCATTTATAAGTCTTTTAAAATAACAGTGATATTTTAAAATAGAGACTTCAAATTCCGTTTCTTACATTCTGGGCATTCACTGCTTCTACAGTTTAAGCCAAATCCAAAATAAGCCTTTTATAGTTTATGTTATTAAGATTCAGCTTATAAAAGAAAGCATAAGTTATAAAGTTAATACAACTTGCATTTATTAGTCCACAAGGAAAAGAATTCTGATTTTTAAAGACTATTAAAAGGGAATATTCTTGATCTTTAGTCAGTCTCACTAATTTTATGAAATAAATGAACATAGACAACATTTTTAGGGCTGGATGACATGCATGACCTGAGCTAACTGTAATTATTTTGGTTGTCTCAATACAGACTATAACAAAATTGAATTGTTTTCTTGATTGTAATTTATTGAAAAGGCAGTTACAAAGTTTCACTTGTTCTTGCTATAGGCAAATAGTAAAACATGAACATTTTTGTACCCAAATATAAACCCTCCAATAGCTACCAACTGTAAAACCAGATATTATTTTTCAAAATCATTATAATTAACTTGAAATATATTTAAATGTCAAACTATGTTGTAATTTCAAACAAATCTAAAATTTATTTTTATTTATAGAAACAAGCTAACATACAGTAAAATTGAAGAATAAATACATTAGTTGTTTCAGTATGATACCACAAGCCAATTTTTTCTACAAAAGACCAAATATTAGATACAACCACAAAACATTTTAATAACCATTTAAAATGAGAATCATGCAATTGGTCCATGAAAAACACACTGAAGTTTTTCTACATAGCATAATAAGCTAGGGAATATAGAACACTTGAAAAGCATTTACAACAAAAGGAATACTAAATAAACAACACTAATTCTTAGTACATTTGTTGCAGTAATGAGTGAAAGCATCATAGAACGTATGTTAAGTCAGAAATATTGACTGTATAAATGCTAATTATTTTATATTAACAATTATTCTGACATTAATATCAGATTTATTCTTAGATTTTCTTTCCTGAATTTGTTAATGTGACCCTGGAACACAAAAATATTTCATTCATTCTATAATACTTTTTATTTCTGTTTAGAACATAAATCAATGTAAAAAATGTATATATACACATATACATATACATAAAATTAAAAAGGAAAAAGTCATTTAATTTTTAGACATTATAATGTACGTTTTTGATGCTGACACACTACAGATCACATATATATTTTCATTCATGATAATTTGCTATACCTAAAAATTATGTTAAAACGATATTTTTAAAATGCCTATGTGTACAATGGAATCCCACAATTTGTGTGATTCAACCTAAAGGCTGTCTTGGGGACTCAAAAGAAATAAGTTTTCTTATGAATAGTCTTTAAATTTTGGTTCATTTTGGCTGAGGTCAAATTCTAATCAAGAATCATTCTCTTACATTTATTTTCCTGTGTTCTTATGATTCCAAGTTTGCCAACAGCCCTGAGTGGTACTAAAAGGGCCTCATAGAGTAGGAGGGGAGGGATACAGTGGTTGCTTCTGTACTTCCAGGACTAGCATCCCAGATGGCCCTGCCCTGGGCTTACTCTAAATAGAGCTAGTGCCTCCAATATGAAAATCCATAAGGCTCCAGTTTATGTAAGTTTATAGGAATCTAATCTTTGATATTTGGGGTACAGGATTTGGCTCAATTTCTCCTTAATTGGCATCTCATTATGCTTTAGGCAAACTCCAAGGCCATAATTTAAAGTTCCAAGTCTTCAATTAAGTTACAAAAACAGGTCTGAAAAATATAAAACTTTAACCTAATTGGATTACTTTACTTGTGTAATTACAGAAAAAAGTTGAGTTTCTTAGGCATTAATGGTTATCCATTCCAGGAACTGTAATTAAGTTTGGTCGAGTACTGCATGTTAATAAGACTACTTGATGTTTTCCCCCCTCTAAAACCATACTCTTTCCTCAATCATGGTGTAAGACTTCTTTGATGATGATGGAAATTCTGTATGGAGGTCAAGTATATAATTGATCCAAGAAGTTTACTAATTTTCTTCACAATTATGTTCTAAATGAAATTTCGAAATAAAAGCTAAATCATTTTATACTTCAAAAATACATGCTCAAAAATTAACCTATTAAGCACTTAATATGTACTTTAAAATGCTTCTTTTTCATCATCAATTCATATTTATCAAATGCCCAGTAGACCAGTTTTTTCTATTGGTGGTACTTTTCTATTACATCCTTGAAACCAACATAGGTGCATTAATATTGTGTACCTGCAGGATCTTCCCGTAGATAACTGTGCAAAATAAAATAAGGTGATATAACACATTTTTTCTTGACTGTGACCTTCATTTGGCATAATATCCCACGTCTTTTCTTTGGCCCAGAAAAGGAAAACTTTCCTTCCCAGAACACTTTCTCCTTACCCCCTACAGTTTCCTTTCTTCTGAAATAGGCAGAACTCTTCTAATTTGGAATATTGTTTTGGGATATATGAATGCCATTTCTGGTTACTTAACATTAAGAACGTTTAGCAACTAGATAGATGAAGTTTCTCAGCCTAAACCGCAGAAAATAAGACCATGTATTTGCCTAGTGCAGAACTAGCGCAGAGACCTCTTGAATACCAGCCCATTTTCTACTGTCTCAACTGTCAAAGAGAAGACGTAGAAAGGGCTGACGGTCTTAACAGAGGATGGGGTTACTGAGATGCTTTTCTAACTCAAAGAATTAGTTGATAGCTTATATTGGATAGTGCCCTTTAAGAGACATATTTGTTATTTTTAGAAAGAAGAATTCTAAAACGTAAGGGCCTAATCTCTAAAGGAGAGTTGGAAACAATTTTTAGGCATATCAATGCAGGAAGTCTAAGGGCTGAGAATTTGGAAAGGCCGGGGAATGAAGAGGCATGAAGTTGGGGCTTCCAAGTTCTTGCAGTGCCGTTCAGGTTTCATTCTCTTAGCAACAAAGTTAAAAATAGAAACCAAATAATACTATTTACAGCAACTATTGCTTCCTCTAAGGGATGCAAAATATTTATGATGTATCCTCAAATCATTTCATCATCTCTCTGTGAGAAGAAGGAGCCAGACATATTAACTAGAAAAAAAAAAATCCCACTGAGTTCCATTAATGAAAAATGCATTAACAGCAGCCAACTAGTGTTGTAATTTATGTCTGTTGAGAAATGAAAGAAATTGTTGCTTATGGCTTATGGCTGGCTTTGATTTACCTGTATTCAAAGGACAGCGAATTCAGCCTTTAAATTGGAAATCTTAATCGCGCAAGAGCAGTCAGGCTTAGTGGCCGCTGGCAATGCTTACCAATGCATCCACAGATCTACATTTAAGTTTTAGGATTTTTATATCACAGCCACGAAACCAATCAATTTTGCCTAATGAAAGCCGAACAGGGAAAAAGACGCGTCATTTTGTAGATCCCAAGACTGTAATAAAAGCAACTGCTAGCATACGTACAGCACTTTACTGTTTATAAAGCTCTTTTCACACATTTAATTTAGTCCCACAACAACCCTGTGAGGTAAATGTTATCAATTCCATTGTACGGCCAAGGAAACAGAGGCTCTCTGTGTGTTTACATAACTTGCATAAAGTCATGTATTTAATAATGAAGAACGCCAGACTAGGCGTGGAACAGTCCTCTTTCTATTTGCCTCTCAGCGCCCAACCCCATCTCCTTTCTGTTATACTTTGAAACTGTCCAATGAGTGGGAGATTGGAAAAGAAGACCAAGCTGGTTTTAATTAAACATGTGGTGACACTTTATAAACTGAGTCACCCTTTAGGAGACTCTCTTTTTTATGAATCTGTATTCCCTAAACAGGAAGATAATGATCGTGTTAATATCCAACACAGCACAAGATGCCCTTATAACACTGGTCAAAATATGTTTACATTGTTCAAGAGAAAGTCTACAGAGTACCTTAGACAATCCTTTTCTTCTAATAAAGTTTGGCATTCCTCATATAGATCTGACTTTATTTTATTTTCTTTTTTCTTTTTTTCTTTTTTTTTTTTTTTAAGACAACATGTTATGTCCCATAGATCTGACTTTAAAATAACCTTGTGGTGGTGGGGAAGAAGATTTTTCAGCCGGTTGACAACATTTTCTCTAACCTTCAGCATCTTAGGAATCATGCTTTGTGTGGCCAATAAAATGTGAGGAATTTAAAGGAGGGCACTGCCAGTTCTAAAGTTACCATTTCAAAAATCAGGGTGATTTATGGTTTCTAACAGAACTTTCCCCTGTTACTCTGAGCAGGCCACCTCCTGTTCAGTATTCCTCAGGCACTCACGCCTCTCTAAGACACCTTCCCATCTCCACGACACCACTTGGGGCTGCATTTTCTGATGCATAAATCGATGGCATTGGATGAAAACATAATTTCTCTAATATCTTCTCTAAATACTAAGGCTGGCGATGAGCTCACTTTGTTCAGAAAGAGTGCCCCTACATTACTTGCTTTTTAAACCAATCAAGCCTTTCTTATATTGAAGGGGAAAAAAAAATTAAAAGAAATCAACAACAGAATATAAAGCCAGGGTAATTATATTTTTCCCTCTAGAAATATAACTTCTATTATATTTCTAGGAATTAGGCCTGTACATTTTAGTACAGTGTGTTTTCATTAATACTCCATATAAAATAATTCATAGTTTTTTTCCCATAGCAATGTGAAAATGCAACTAGAAACACAGTCTTGTACCCAATGAATTGATTTATGCTTATCTGAATAAAGTTCATTTGTTCTTGTGATTTCTAGCTCAATTCAGGTAATGGGCTAAAAAGTTAATCGCAAGAGTCGGGCTGCATGAACTCAGGACTCAGGTTGAAACAGGAATAAATTTGATGGACTTGGAAGATTTAGGTGAGTCCTTCCATATACCCGTACTGTTTGTCGGGCTTCGGTTGTTAGAGTAAGAAGTCTGTCTTCTGCTCATACTGTCTGTATCTTCTTTGTTGAATTTTTGCGTTATGTTTTGGCAGCACGGGAAGCTTTGAACACAGTCTTGCAGGAGATGGCCACTAAAAAACATGTATATCCATGGATTGCAGCAACTATTCAAGGAAGCCAGCAATGCAGTGATGGTGACAGTAGGGTTTTCTGAATCTGCATGAAAAATACAAAGGCAGATTATTTAAATAGTCAAATTCAAGAAACTTAGCACCAGATAAACTCATTTTTCTATTGACTAATTAAAGAGAGAAAAAGGTATGGGTTAGTATAGAAAATGAACTATTTTGTTTATCAATCAGGGAACTGGGTAGTGTTTGGAAATTGCTTGGTTGTGAAATATTTTTGTAAGCACGATGCCTTAAAATTAATTCAAATATTTTAAATCCACTATCAAAATATTTAAACAGAATGAGTGTGAATTTCAAGAGGTTAAAACTATTAAATAATTCATTTAAAAAACTCTATCTTTTATACTAGCACTAGCATGTGCTAATGAACACAGCATTTACAGAGTGGCTGCAATTTTAATGAAATTTTAAGAGTCTATAACCACACATACAAAATTCTATTCATCCCAATTACTCAGGCAAAAGTATGTCATTAAGAATCATATGTAGCAGTTTTAAAATTTTAAATATACCTGTAATATGAAAACTGAGGATAGCAGAAATAGGTCCCTGAAGGACATAAGCTTTAGTTGTTTTTCTTTGGTTAATTAGAAATTTGGTTTGATTGTAAAAGAAAATCATCTTTTATTGTGGTTCAAGCAAATTATATTAAGAAGAGTAGCAGAATTAGGAATTCTACCAGTATTCCAAAATATTTTATGTTAATTAGCAGCAGTAAACCTCATAAATATTATAAGCTTTTCCAGTGGAACTACTGCACTGAAAATAATCAAGGGAAAGTCAGTGTATTCTGATTATTCTTATACTTTCCCTTGATTATTAAATATAAACTTGGGTCTTTTCACTCTTGTTATGCCAGAAAGAAAAGTTATAGGTTATTTAAGCATACTCTATGATAAGATGCTACTATTAAAGGTGATCATAATCCATGGCCAAGACTGTATTCGCAAAGACTGGAAATCAACATATCTATGCACAAGTGAAGTTTTAATTAATTGTGTATAAATATTGATGGAAGAATAATTAGACTAATTTTTTTTGAATGGCAATATTATGACGCTTCTAAGATCAAGTAAACAGGAAATGATAAATTAGAAATAAAGTGTTCGTGCTATATTTTTCACTATTGGTATTCATTGTTGCTATATTGCAAGAATATTTATTTGTTTAAATTAAATTCACACTGATATGTTTTATTTGCAAATACAGCTTCCTGAATATATCACATGCACTTCCCTACTCCAATCCTAAGAAACAGAAGGAAACAGCTCCTCTTAAATACCTATTCCTTGACTATACTTATAAGAAACATTCTTGTAATTTAGTTGGAAAAATATTTTTTTCTTACTAAAAGAAAATATTTTCAAGATGCAAATTTAATTTAGTTTTTTTTTTTTTTGAAAGTCCCTGTGAACTTAGTTTTTCTAGTTTTGGAAGGAATTAAAATGAAACAGGCTGGTAGGTGTAGAAAACATTCTCAGTAAACTACTGCAAGAGCAGTAGGTGGATAGTTGTGTGGTCAAATTAGTGCAAAATGACTGATAAATTAGTCTAACAAATTTAGTTTATCAATCATCTTGCTTTGAAATACTAGGAAAAAAAGTGTTAAAGTAATTATTGTTAGAAAAAAAACAAATTATAGTGAGAAAGGGAAATTAGCTAAATGCCAAGTTAGAATTCTTGACTTCTCAAGAATCTTTCTCCAGCTTTCTTTAGAAAAATACATGTTTTTACCTTTGAGGCACTGACACAAAATTTTTATATTAATTGTGATAGTTTTCACAATCCAACAAAAGCCACTGTGATAGTCACAATATTTCCCTGAATCTAATTGGCTTGAAAGCAGGATATTAGCAGTTAGTCATTTGGTAAAAAAAAAAAAAAAATCATTCGGTTTTGTAGTTGCGTGACTGACTCTAGTTTCTGGATTTGTGGTCTTAGGATCTTTGCACACTACGAATGCCCTCCTGGGCCCTATTCCAAAATTCTGAATTAGGGTATCTGAGGTAGGGATTCCGGAAATCTGCAGTTTTGACAATTCTCCCAACGTGTAATTGCTATGCACACATGAGTTTAAGAACTACTTACTGCCTAGAGGATACTATGAAAGGGAATACTATTTCTTTCTCTCTCTCTCTCTCTACACACACACACACACACACACACACACACACACACACACACACACACACACACACACACACACACACACACACACACACCCATCCCTGCACTTTGCTCCATTGTCCGGGCACCTACCGGTCCAGACGGACTTCTCATCCCAGACTGACCACAGCTGGATGACGAAGAAAGGCGTCCAGCAGACTATGTAAGCGGTCACGATCACGAAAGTCATCTTCACCGTGCGGATCTTGGCGCGGGAAATGGTCTTCACGCTGCTGACACAGGGGGCGAGCAGGCGCCCCTTTGGGAAGACCCCGCTCGCCTCCTCTGCGCCCTTGCTCTGGCGCGACGCGGTCTTCCCGCGGACGTTGCGCCAGATGTTATAGCAGATGAAGCCGTAGCAGGTGCCCAGGATGACAACTGGTGCCACAAAGATGCCGCCCGTCATCCAGGTCACGTAGGCGCGGGAACCCCAGGGCTGAATGAAGGTGGCCCAGCAGTCGCGGGCCTTGGTGACATTGTTCACCTCGATCATGGAGAAGACGAAGTACTGCGGCGCGCTCAGCACGAGACTGAGCACCCACGCCGCAGCTATCATGAGGTGCGAGCGGCGCGCGGGCTGCTGCAGAGTCTTGAGCGGGTGGCACACGGCGATGTAGCGGTCGGCGGTCATGACCACCAGCATGTAGGCCGACGCGAACATGCCGAACACCTGCAGGTGCTTCACCACGCGGCACAGCCAGTCGGGGCCGCGGAAGCGGTACGTGATGTCCCAGCACATCTGCGGCAGCACCTGGAAGAAGGCGACGGCCAGGTCGGCCAGGCTGAGGTGTCGGATGAACAGGTGCATTCGGGAAGTCTTGCGCGGCGTGCGGTGCAGCGCCAGCAGCACGCTGCTGTTGCCCAGCACGGCCATCGCGAAGGTCACTGCCAGCACGGCGATCTCCAGTTTGGCCAGCTCCTCGTTGCGCACGTCCCCTCGCGCGCCGCCGCCCTCCCCGAGGTCTTCGGCCTCCTGGCTCGTGTTGGCACCGCTGGAATTGCCCCAGGGCCCCACATCGGAGCCTCTGGAGAAAGGCATGCTGTCCATGCAACGACTGCTCAGCCCTCCTCCGAGGCCCCGGCCCGCGCGGGCCGTTCTCTAGCCGCCTCGGGGGACGTGGGCTCCTGCCCCCAGCGCGCTTCCTTCCCGCCGCCCGCGGAGCCGCTCCCAGGCCGGCGCGCCGGCCCCTCTGCCTGCTCTGCTCTTTTCAACTTCGCGGGAGCCCGAGAGCGGCTCTCCGAGCTTCTGAACGCTCCGGGTTCCGAACTCAATTATTTATGCGGGGTTTGTTTTCGCAGGACGCACTCCCTCTCGCCCTAGTGGCTGGAGACTGCTCGGTGCCTGCTCCCCACGCCCCGCAGTTGTTCCCCCCGCCACCCTCTCCCGACGTCGGTGATTTGTCCCCTTCGCATCACTGCCGCGGAGGTGGGGCCAGAGTCCTCGCACAGCAGGCGGCTTGTGGCGCTTTCTCGCTCTTCCACAAATTCGGGGAACGGGACGTGTCAGGCCTTTTCTGGGTGCTCTCCGTTTCCTCAGGCCTCCCTCACTAGCCTCCTTACCCCGCCATTTGATTTCTACAGGTAAACCCGGTCCCTAGAAATGTCAGGTCCACGCGCCCGCGGGCGAAATCATGCACCTGGACGACCCCACCTCCTCCAGTCCGGGGGGCTCTCCCTTCTCCGCGAGCGCATCCTCGAGCAGCCAGTCTGGGGGATTTTAGTCCCAGGGCAATTTTGCTCCGGGAATTACACACACACCCACTTCCCGCTCGCTCCTCGCCACCCCCCTACCTGCAGAGACTTAAAGGTCGCTCTCTTCCTAATAATGTCTTTGATGACAGCAATTTGTTCCCCTATGTTTGCAACGCGAAGGACGCACTCGCGTGTCGCACGACGACAGCCCCCGCGGCTGCTGTGCGTGCATCTGCAGCCGGGAAAAGAAACGTCTTCTGGTTTTCCAGTTTCCCTGTGGGGGCTGAGGACTTAGGGAGTTTTCTCTAAATTAGATTTCTGGGGTTTTCTACTGGAAAAGCTTGATTCCCACAGCGGAAATGGCGGGAACTGGGTCGCAGTAGTCCGTGGGGACTTCTTCGGGTTGCTATTAAATCGCGGGACATCTCTTCGAGTGGACAAGGAGCAGCTGCCGGACAGCGGCCACCCAGGCAGGGCTGTCAGGGAACCGGAGTGAAAAACAGCCAGGCTCCCGCACTAAGGGGTGAGAAAGAGGAAATCTCAGGGCAGGACAGAGGCGCTGGGGAGGAAGAGAGGAAACACCGCTAACTATTAATTAGTTGCTCTGGACAACAGGTGCCCAGCTGCAGTTCCTGAGCGAAGCAGAAATACTGACTCTCTCCATCACCTGTTTCAACTTTGCTGAAGATATGCTTTGAAGGACAGCAAGGGGGAGCTGTTTTCAGGCTATTTTACAAGGAAGGAAAAAGAAACGAAAGAAAAAAGGAAAGGAAACACTTTGTACGGTTATCTGCTATGTAGACACGCAAACATGACTTTGTAGGTCAGAACGTTTGTGTATTGTGGTGGTTGTTATAAATTTGATTGTCTCAGAAAAAAATATCAACATCTGTGAAATAGAGGCAAAAAAAAAATCAAAAGATTTTCTTAGATGCAGTTCTCAGTGATAATTCCGCTCTGCTATCAGTTCATGCATGCCATCAGTGCACTGCCAGAGTTCCCAAGGTTGATACACTGGCAGTGTTGGACTCGAATCTGGAGTCATGCTTCACTGTGGCTTTATGATCCTAGGTCTATGCATCTTAAAATGGGAATAAAAGTACCTGCCATTCCTACTCCTGAGGTTATTGGGAGGATCTAATAAGACAATGTTTTGCACAGAGAAATGCTCTAAAAACTGAAAGCTGTGTTGCGTTGGCTCATTTTCTCCAAGATGTCTAGGAGGCAAAAGATTAAAATATTTCAGGGGTGGTAATAAGTAAAAGGTTTCCAGACCACCTGTCTGGAAAAACCCTTCAAGCAATTTAATAACCACTGACTCAGAGAGGTGACCTTCTTTTAAATCACAAATTACATTATTAGTGCTCCTTATGAGAAATAATGTTGGCTGACCCTAGAGTCCCTGGGGGTTGCAAAAGTGGTCCATTGACCACAGCCTGGCAATTTTATAGCTCTTGGCCCTATATACTTTGAGCTTTTAGGTTTCCTCAAGGGAGAAAATTTGCAGCACAGGATCACCGAATGTCTTTAGGTGTTCTCATTCCAGGAGCTGATGTGGTGGCCTCTCAGGAAATCATTCATGTGTATCACTCAACCCCATCCAATAATCAAACTATACCCAAATATCCAATTTCTAAAAATAACCTATTAGGTTACTTTGGGGCATACAGATGGAAGATATTATTGTTCAGTGGCAATAGTACCAATTACCCATGCATATCAAGCATATACATAAATACATATACATATATGCATATATATATGTATTAATATACATATTCCTCTCCTCAAACTGTCAGTTTTCTTCCTTCTTCTTACTGAAAAAATAAATTAGGTATTCTTCAGGAGGAAGTGTTATGGTTTGAATGTTTATCCCTTCCAAAACTCACTTTCAAACTTAATTCCCAATGTGGCAGTATTGAAAGGTGGGCCTTTAAGAGGTGATTAGGTCATGAGTGCTCTGCCCTCATGAATGAATTAATCCTCTCATAAATTAATGGAGTCATGGGTTAATGAATTAATGGATTAGTGGGTAATCATGGGAGTGGGACCGGTAGCTTTATAAGAAGAGGAAGGGCGACCTGAGCTAGCAGATTAGCATGCTCAGCCCCCTTGCCATGTGATGCCCTGCACTGCTTAGGGACTCTGTAGAGAGTCCCCACCAGCAAGAAGGCCCTCACCAGATGAGGCCCCTCAATCTTGGATTTCCCAGCCTCCAGAATTGTAAGAAACACATTTGTTTCTTTAAAAAATATCCAGTTAGCAGGTATTCTGTTATAAGCAACAAAAAGTGGACAAAGACAGTATCCATTTTGCTTCTATAGTCCACAGTGACTCCTTCCCCTTCAATTTCAAATTAATGACATTATTGTTATAGTCCTGCAATCTTGTATTCATATCATTGTGATATGAATCATAGCCAGTCAACAACTATTTATTACACTTCTCTGTTGCTAGGTCTTGAGCTGGCTACAAAAAATTATGTAATGATCACTAATATTTATTTAAAACTTTATTTGTGCCAGGCACTGCCATAAGTGCTTTACAAGTATTACTTCACTAAATCCTCCCAGTGACCCTATGAGGGCTGTACTGTTATTATTTCATTTTACATTTGAGGAAGCAGAGGCACAGAAAGAATAAATAACCAGCCTCCAGTGACACAGCTGGTCAGTGGTAGAACCAGGATTTGAACAGAAGCAGTTGACTCCAGCAGCATTTACAACCTTAACCACTACACTGTGCTGCCACCTTTGAGCCTCCACTTTTTAGATTTTACAGACTTGTAAAGGTATTTGATTGGTTATTGTACATTCATCTGTATATATGATTTTTCTCATCTAAGACTGGGAGATCCTGTAGAATCTGCATTCGTTCTTACATATCTTTGGTATTCTCTTTGGTAAACCAAATACAAGGCAAAATAGTAGAAGTGGTAATAACAATAATAGTAATAACAATAATAATAGATAATTTGAACATTTACCAACATTGATTAAGTTTATTTCATGAGCTAAGTACTTTAAATACATTATTTCATTTAATCTTTAAAATATTTAAATTAAACCATGTATAAGGACAGAGTTATTATCATCCCACTTTGCAGATGAATAAAACAAGGATTACAGAGGTTAAGCAACTTAACCAAAATTACAAGGCTCCAAGTGGCTGAGCCATGAGTCACACGTAGTGTAGGTCCATTTGGAATCAAGGCCTGGGCTCTAATGTCTATGCCCTAAAGCCTCCCATACACATGACAAGACCCTAAAACATCTTTGTGGAATGAATTAACAAATATTGTAATAAAACTTATTTTTGAGTACTGAATGAATATAAAATTCAGAGAGTGCTTGGTGACTGGATAACTTAGAGAAGAGTTCTCAAGGAACCGCCTTTGGGTACCTGAATCTCCGTAGCATCTCCCCTGAAAAAGGGGGTCAGCATTTATATCTAGAAGGCACTTAAATACTTCTAGTTATCCTTCTGCCTGGAGAATCCTGACCTACTAAGTGTATCTCTGACTTAAAAAGTTCTTCAGTGAATGAGCTTCTTTAACACACACAGACATGCACACAGTACTAAATTCTACAAAGTGCTGCAAGTCAAGCATGGAAAAACATCAGGTGTTCATCATATTACAATACTATTCACTCTATAGGGTTAACTTAAAAATGAGAACAGCACTTAGTCTGATTTATGGAGTTTTATTTTCTTATGTGATAGTATGGGCTTGCATCTATGAGTGCAAAGCTATAACATTAAAGAGAGGCTACTATGTTCAAGAAAATCTTAAATGTCCTGATGTTGGCTGATGAAAAGTTAGAATCTCATCACTTGTTCAACAAACAAAATCATTCCTGAGTCAGTCATTACATCATTAGTAGAAAAATCATCCAAAGTAAATGATTTCTAAAATCAGCAGTATTTATATATTCAGAAAATCAGTTTGCTTTTAAAGATTACCTGGTTGATTTAATTAAAAAACTTTTTTAATGTAAAGTCATTTAAATGGTTGAGTTTAAGACTTTTGCTCCTAATGAATTAATATTCATTTGGATGTTCTGCATCTTCATAGGCAGCAGCTATGAAATTTCTGTCTACATTTGATAATCAAGACTCATTCTTTTAGCATGCTGGCAGCACTGAGTCTATCTCTCTGTATTCATTAACTCCTTTTTCACAGACATAAGCTTTGCATTCTTTGAAGGATGCTAACATCAGTAGTTGTGATACTATCATTATTTTTTTGTTTATGTGCTGTGAATACTGTTTTTATATAATACTAATGTTTTTTATACTTTTTTGCTTCTCATTTTCTTTTCTAAGGTTGGACAGGATTAGCTTTTAAAAATATATATATATATATTTCTTGTTTTTAGGCATATTTTAATGATGTGTAAACTTGTGTTAAGAACATTATGCCATAATCAGATTATGCATTTGTTAACATACCCTTTATCAGGAAAATGCAAAACATAAGAATAAAACCACAAACTGCCAAGTTTGAAGAGACAAAGTCTATTTCTACCCTTCACCCCACTCCTATCCTCCTCTTTCTGTCACCTCACACCCTTGCCAGGTGCTTCAAAGTTTTCCAAAAGCCTCTTCTTGTCTTATCACCAGGAAAATATGAAATATGTTGCATTTCATTTTCCGTTAGGGTTTTCATGGCGATAATTA